ATAGTTATATAAGAGCAGATGCTGCTGGTGCAATAAGTTGTACGTCCAATGGATGCATGATCTGATTAGTCGACTAATCGCAAAAATAATCGGTGACTAGTCGACTATCAAAATAATCGTTTGTGGCAGCCCTACTGCAGAGCTCTGTTACATTTGCGTAGTTGGCTAATTACTAGCCTATTGCTGTTAAATGTTGTCAGTCGTTAAAGTGGCTCTAAAGCAGTTGAATTTTGAAGAACAAAGACTGAGTCACATTACTATGATGCAGGCTGATAATTGTCTTTTATTCACTCTGTGTGCTGAATGTGAACAAGGTTCTCACCGGCTTTCTCTCTTGATGGGAATTGTCGTACGTCTGCTCCTTTCAATTTTATCAACTCCCTCAACCACAGGTTGTACTAGTTGGAGTAGTGAGGGTGAATTGCCACTAGCTGCCACTTTCCCATATGACAGCAGCAGCTCTTGGTACATTGTAATTAGGTTAGAGCAGGGGTAGGCAACTCCAGGCCTCGAGTGCCGGTGTCCTGCAGGTTTTAGATTGCACCCTGGGTTAACACACCTGAATCAAATGATTAGTTCATTACCAGGCCTCTGGAGAGCTTCAAGAAATGCTGAGGCGTCACTTAGCCCTTTAAATCAGCTGTGATGGATCATGGACAAATCTAAAACCTCCAGGACACTGGCACTCGAGGCCTGGAGTTGCCTACCCCTGGGTTAGAGGAAAGTAATGGCAACATGAACACTGAAGTGAGTAGGTTTACCCATAAATTGGTACATCTTTACCCAGGGCCTTTTGTGAATCCCAACCCGATTTTATGGAAATGATCTGGCTCATAAGCTCCAAAATGACAAAACCCGACTTTTATAAAAAATACAAGTTAAAATCTAGGAATAAATTGCAGTGAAAGTAACAGTTAGGAGTGATTCAATATGCCTTAATCAGTCCTTCATAGGGTCTGAACTCTGAGCTTATGGAGCCTTAGACTACCAATACAAGAGGCATGAACTTTAGGACAAGATTTAGGCTACGTTCATACTGCAGGTCTTAATGCTCAATTCCAATTTTTTGATCAAATCTGATTCTTTCTTTTTTTTCTTCTTTTTTTTGTCTGCTTGTTCACTCTACAAATAAAATGCAACAGCAAACGCGCTCTAGTGTGAACCCTCAAAGCGGCCGCATGCGCAAAAGAAGACGTCACACACAACGCGCTCTGTTTAGACCCAGACCAAACAGCATTGTTTGACTGATGGACCTTGGAGAAACTGAAAGCTCATTATAAAAGCCAAATAAGCAAAAAAAAAATGCAAAACAACCAGATTCAGGGCTTTAATACTTCAGTCTGTGGTCTTAGATTTGATTAACAATCAGAGCTGCAAGCAGTCATGTTCGTGTGTATGTATGTGTTGTGGTGAACATGTGTTCAAAGTTCAAATGACACGAGTCTGTGCTTTAAATTTGGCTGATGCAGTCTTTAGCCTAGTAACTTAGTTCCCTTCTGTCCAACACAGGCAGAGGTAATGGCTGCACAAGTTTCAGCATGTGAGAGAAGAGTGAACAGTGAGAGCTGTGGGGATGTGCTGTGAGCATGGGGCTGGGTTAACCAGTCACTCTACATCTGTAATGATTGGTGGAGCATGGTTGTTTACAACATGATCAAGGCTAAATGCTGTGTTGGAGAACTTCACTCCTGGCTGTTCATTTCTTACTGAAAGACTGGCTGGATGCTCTTGAAGTTTCCCAGAACACAGTCCTCTTATTCAGTGCACTAAAAATTGGTTTAAGTGATTTGAGTGGGAGCTTCTCTATGACTCTTGTTACGTTTTGGTGTTGTCGGTGTGTTGCTTTTGCGTGACTGTCATGTGTTTCCTGTTTTACTTTGAAAGTCTGTGTTATTTTAGTGTGTTCAGTTTACGTTTCCTTGTCTCGTCAGGTCTAATTTGCCCCAGCTGTGTTTCCCTCCTGTGGTCCATTCCCTAATTGCTCCCTCTAGGTATTTAAACCCTGTGTTTCAGTGTGTCATGTTTTGCGATCTTCCCCCCGTTGTAAATAGTTTGACGTCTTGTGTTTGGTGATGTAAATAAATGTCGTGTTTTGCTTTAAATCTCGTTTTGGGATTATTTTTATTTTCCTTTTTTTTATTTTTCTGCGTTGCACCCCGGTTGCCTAGGCCGGGGTGTAACATATGGGGGCTCGTCCGGGATCGCTGGAGGGTCCGAAGGAGGGACAGCTTCGGCCTTCTGTCTTCGCTGGAGGATCCGAGGGACCGCTCCAGCCTTCTGCAGCTGGTGGGCTGCGTGTCCGTGTGTGCAGCTGGTGGGCTGCGTGTCCGTGTGTGCAGCTGGTGGGCTGCGTGTCCGTGTGTGCAGCTGGTGGGCTGCGTGTCCGTGTGTGCAGCTAGTGAGCTGCTCATCCGCCTTCGCTGGAGCGTCCGAGGGACCGCTCCAGCCTTCATCCGCCTCTGCTGGAGGGTCCGGGGGACCGCACCAGCCTTCGTCGTCTGCTGGAGGGTCCGTGGGACCGCTCCAGCCTCCATCAGCTTCGTCTGCCTTCATCCGCCTTCGCTGGGGGGAGGGTCCGTGGGACCGCCCCAGCCTTTGTCGTCGCTGGAGGGTCCGTGGGACCGCTCCAGCCTTCATCCGCCTTCGCTGGAGGGTCCGAGGGACCGCTCCAGCCTTCGTCGTCTGCTGGAGGGTCAGTGGGACCGCTCCAGCCTCCATCAGCTTCGTCTGCCTTCGTTTCAGCCTTCGTTTGTCTTCGCTGGAGGGTCCGTGGGACCGCTCCAGCCTTCGTCTGCCTTCGCTGGAGGGTCCGAGGGACCGCTCCAGCCTTCGTCGTCTGCTGGAGGGTCAGTGGGACCGCTCCAGCCTCCACCAGCCTTCATCCGCTTTTGATCAAACATTTCACTTGGGGTTACATGTTTGATTTTTGGGTGGGGGAACTGTTACGTTTTGGTGTTGTCGGTGTGTTGCTTTTGCGTGACTGTCATGTGTTTCCTGTTTTACTTTGAAAGTCTGTGTTATTTTAGTGTGTTCAGTTTACGTTTCCTTGTCTCGTCAGGTCTAATTTGCCCCAGCTGTGTTTCCCTCCTGTGGTCCATTCCCTAATTGCTCCTTCTATGTATTTAAGCCCTGTGTTTCAGTGTGTCATGGTCGCGATCTTCCCCCCCGTTGTAAATAGTTTGACGTCTGGTGTTTGGTGATGTAAATAAATGTGGTATTTTGCTTTAAATCTCGTTTTGGGATTATTTTTATTTTCCTTTTTTTTATTTTCTGCGTTGCACCCCGGTTGCCTAGGCCGGGGTGTAACACTCTGCTTTAAATAGCATCAGTATAGAGCTATAGTGTCCCTTCAGTCTATTTTTGGTTAATAAAGGTGTGTTCTAAAGTCCATTTAAGGTAAAGCAAAACCAAACAGTAGCAGAGATGATGTCAGAGCCAGCTATAAATAGCTCAGTTGTCCGTGTGTGACCTAAATTGGAAAGGGGACATTTAGATGGTTGCATTCATAGAAGCAGATTAGGAATTTCCAGCTGTAAATGTGCCAAACACTTAATGAAAACCTTACAGTGAGTTTAACAGGAAACATGACAGCTATCTGGGTTGCAAGCTGCTTTGGACGAGCAGGTTTTGAGATGTGATTGAAGCGAACAGTAATTCTTTTGGGGCTGCTGGTTATTTTTTTATTTATTTATTTTTTACACTCAGTTCACTAAATAGCTTCTGTGTTTGGCTTTCTCTGCCATGAAATGAGTCTGATGCAACAACTTTTTTTTTTTTTAATTTTTAAATAAAGATTGTTACGTTTCTGATTTCTTCCATTTCAAAGGGAGGAGTGTTTCTCAAGAACTGAACACGAACAGGAATGTTTTAAATGGCACAGTTACCGGGCAATTGAGTTTCATCAGAAGAGAAATAAGATAAGAGCTTCATGATTCCTGCTTGCTGTCTGTGCAAGTGGACATTAAGCACTTCACCTAGAAAGGCTAATTTACATCATGGAGCAGGGAATAGATTGAACCTCTCTTCTTAATTTCTGTGCAAAACATAAACTCTGACTGTAGGGAGACCAACAAAGAACAGGCCAAAGCTAACTACTTACGCTATCTTATCTTAGATAACAATAAAACGGAGTACGCCACACCCTGGCCTTGTTCATTGTTTTTTTAAAACTTGGTTTTCACCAGTTGATCAATGGTCCTTCAGGTCTTGAATTTCGACATGACTAATGATTGCCAGCTGAGCTGTTGGCGTTTCATCAGACCCAATGGTGCCAACGTTTATAATGCTGTGGAATTTTATATCGATAAAGTAATTCACCAGGTCACCAAATGGCAACATGTATGAAGACATTTGGCGTTTACCTTTGTACCCAATTAAAACGATGGCTGAGAAAGAATAAAACGTTGGCAGGTGTTCTTTGGGAATTGAGAATGTCATATATTGGGGCTTCAAAAGGGTGGTGGCTTTGGCATGATGTCCCCTGATCTATCCATCTGTCCATTAGGCTGTCAGTCGACTGGCTTGCGAGTCCCTTGGCCTTAGAGTATTAATTTTCATTCTGAAGCTTCAGTTGCAGGTTTCTAGCATTATACACCCCTGCGGCACTTTTGTGTCTTACTGGCACAACTCAGCTAAGATGTGTTGTTAGTCACACCAGCACTCTTCCTGCTATGACGAGCAGGGTTTTTCCTGGCTGAGAAATCCACCTTTGGGGGACGACCCTGCATACACGTGTGGTTGCAGTATCCTTGGTGACTTTTAATTCCTTTTGAGGAAGACCAGATCACCTGAGATTTGTCAGAATATTAAAAGTTTTAAAAATAGTAAATGTCTTTGTATTAGTATGACAGGTCTAGTATTATGAAGACTGTACTTTGATTTGGTGCCTTGTAAGTGGGAGTAATTTAGATAAATTCTGAGGAATTTTCTGTATCGCAATCACCTTGTTGCACAATCTTTCTGGATTTTAACACACTCCCTGCTCTTCGCTTCCTTCACAGGTACAGCTTCTACTTCCAGTTTGTGCTGCATCCTCTAATCCTGTGACGCTCCGCTGTCCTCCAGGAACAGCCTTAAACACAATTTCCATCGTCTTCCCAGTTGTCGTGAGCAGATATGCCTGCAGCAGTGGGCGGGCCAGTAGGGTACACCCCTCCTGAGGGTGGCTGGGGTTGGGTGGTGGTGTTGGGGGCCTTCATCTCCATTGGCTTCTCCTACGCCTTCCCCAAATCCATCACTGTGTTCTTCAAAGACATTGAGGTCATCTTTGATGCCACACCAAGTCAAGTGTCCTGGATCTCCTCCATCATGCTGGCTGTCATGTATGCAGGAGGTGAGTGACCAGCCGTCAACATCAACAACTAAAACCTTGACGTGTCCTTAAGAATTTTATTTATTTATTTTTAAATTGGTTTGTTGTCAGGTGTTATACAAATGCACAAAGATGTTTGTTTTTAGACCTTTTTATTGTGGCCACTAAACCAGAATTAAGCAGAAAAGTGTTGTTAACGCTTTAAGATAAGAAGCTGAAACTAAGGTTGTAATTTTAATTTTAGAATCAAAAACTACTAAATTGATTTTTGTTCAATCAATTATCACCTTAATTGATAGTCATGAGCATTAAATCCACATTTTGGACATTCCTTCCATTCTTCCTTACAGAACCACTCCTAATATAATGGTCATGGTCAAAGACGTTAGAGGAATGACTTCTGTGATAAACCCAGTCAGCCAAACTTACTGCACAGCTTCCGAAACACTGAGAGCTTACTTTTAATAACCTGCTGCAAGAAAAAGTCTTCCTGTATGCTTTAGTTATGTTCAGCTGTAGCTTCCTGAAGTGTTACTCGAGGATGCTACACTAATATACAACACACCTCCACACCTGGTGTTGCAAAGACTGGATTGCTTTGTGTTTATAGAAACACGTCCTTGTATCAGGTGCAAATGTTATGTTTTTGTGTAAACAGCAGAAATGGTGCTAATCAGATATGATTTGAACTCATGTCCTGGAGCTCAGTTAAATCTTTCATTCTAGTTTAGAGTTTATCATTTTAAACATTTGATGTACTTCCTATTATCCTTTAATTATGAGCCATTAACCTAATATGCATGCAGCACGGCCTCAAAAACGGGGCTTCCCCTTTCCCCCTTTTTATGCCATTCCACCGTTGGAACAAGTCACTCATTTCAGCTACCAGGAAAAGTCTGTCACTACCTGACAGAAGAACAAAACTGCAGCTGAGGTTTTAGTTTCCTGAAAGACTTCATATCTGATGGCAGGCAGACTGAGATAGTCAAACCAATATGTCAAGTTGACTACAATTTGCAGTCAACATTTAATTACATAGTTTATTAAGATAGACCTATATAACTTGGCTCTAATGGGGCTTCATCTGGATGACCCTGTAGTGTCCTGGCTTTGAGGCAGAGCAAGGGATGCTGGCAGTGAAACAGAATTATTGGAGCACTTTATTTTTATTTAATCTGTCATTGTTGGTTTAAACATTTATTGGCGCTTTCTTGGTTCTGCCTCTGTCTTTCGCCCAAAGTAAACATGCTCTCCATCCGTTACCACTCAAACTCTGAGTCATTCACAGCTTGAATAGCCCTCACTGAGCACTCAATGGGTGCCTTTGCATTTAAAAGAAAAAGGAAATCAAGCAGATGTTTGTTCTACTGTAACCCATTCAAAACCTAATGGAAAAAGAACACATTGTATTAATGACTGAATTCACCTCTCTCATAAGGGTTCATGCTGTGGTTTACTGGGTAAACGTAGGGATTACAATGGGCGATACATAAGCTTAGTGTAAATAAAATGAACTGAACAGCTCATAATACAAAAGAAATCTACGTGTATTTCAACATATCTGAAATTTTTCATTGCAAAGTTTTAACTGACTCTTTCATGAGGCTGTGAAAGTGCACTTTTGAAATGGGAGTTTCAAAGGTGACACTCGTATAGCTTTTTAAAAATCAGGATAATACCATCGATTTTAACACTTGACTCCAACATAAAGCCAGAGTTTTCCAAATTCTGGCTTCTAAAAATCTTCTGTGGGCTGTGTATTGGTGAAACTTCCACTTAAGCTGGAAAAAGCAGTAACATGCACACGGAAGTACCCCATGCATCACGTGACCTCATTTGGGTTATAAGTACGTGTTGATGACAATGGCTGGAGTTGGCGCTCTCCACTGGATTGCCCAGATGTTAATGTGGTGTTTGTTTATCTTATTTGGGGTCTAATTCTGGCTGAGATGTCTTAAGGCCATCAGTGACGCTAACTAGTGATATGAAAAGTACGTTTAACTCTTCAGCTGCATTTCCTAAAGCTGACAAAGGTTCAGTTGGCATGTATGAGGCTCATCTGCACAAACTCACTACTTTAGTTGAAAAGAACTAATTTCTAAAATAAACCCAGAAACGCAGCTTTACTTGACGTTAACATGAACATGCACTGAGTATCGACACTGGCTCGATGTCTTGGTGGCTCGTTGCTTGCTAAACTCAACACTTTGTACAAAAATCAAGTTTGTGCTTGTTGAATAATCAGGGAACAAATCTGGTCATCAGAATAGTCATCTCAAGCTGCCTCTAAGCTGTGTATTCTTATAGCTCAGTGCTGCTTGGAGAGATTTTGCTAATTGCATGTTTAGATACATGTGTGTTTGAAATGAATGTGCCACCCATACTGCTGAGCAGTTCGAGATTTGTTTTTGGCTGCAGAGGAATCACCTTGAACTTCACAAGTCTTTGTAAATCTGAAAAGATGGACGTTACAGCAGTGTTATTTCTGGTAGTGTCTTCTGTCTCTTCTAGTTAGGCACCTCTGTCACTGCTGGGAATAGAGCTTTAAATTTAGGTATCCTGAAGTTGTCAGGACTAGAGGGTAGGGTAAGAACAATGTCCCATCGGGCCTGGCAGAAAGGGAAATCTGCAGAGCTGCTTTCTAGGACTTCCTCGACTGTCACGCATGTAAGAACACGATTGTCAGATGTGATCAGATTGTCTGATCTTTAACATACTAGGTCCAGGTTTACTACTAGCAAGTCCTGCTGCATGTTCTGTCCAGGCATCTTCATCATTTAAAGCACTCAGAGTATTTCCAGTAAATGCATCTTTAATGGGCTGTTTCCTGCTATCCTGTGAAAAAAGTCCTTGTACAAACACAACTAAACTATGAGTCTGCTCACTGGAAAGCAGCCTCCCCTTGGGCTTAATTACATATACATGAGATTGTTGAGACATATTTACAAAAAGACAGAAGTGGATTTTCAGGTTGGGCGGGATTTTCAGATCGAATTTCTTTGCTTTTCTTCTAAAGACAAAGTCGGAGAGACAGATAAAGAAGGACCTAAGTGTACTCAGTCAGCACAGCCCTCATTTGACACACACACACACACACACACACACACACACACACACACACACACACACACACACACACACACACACACACACACACACAGTCTGTGTTCGTTAGTACTTCATATTGCTGAGCTGTGTGCCAGTCTGCACTCTCTTTCTGCAGGTTAAGACTTTTATAAAACTACCGAGGGAGGAAATGATGGGAGGAGTGAAATTGCACAACAGGAGCCAGCTGGTGAAATGTATTCCCCCAAATATTGAAATGTTCCTCCTTTCTTGCTTCACAATTCACAGATCACCAGTTCCTGGAGTCGTTGTACTAAATGAGAGGAGCTGAAAGACTGTAGGTTTAGGTTACCGCAACCATTTTACTCACCGACTGGTTTACACATGAGGCAAGGCACGTACACACACCGGCTTCCACAAAAGGAGGGGGAAAAAAAACACACCACACACGAGTCATGCACAACGTCACTGAAAGCTGAGTAACAGTGTGAACAAATAAATGCGCAGGATGTTTTGTACGTAGGTAAGAGTGAGACAATCATAAAGGGAGTCTATTTAACACCCGCAAACTTCCCTTTTAACCAGAAACCAAAGACGAGTCAAGCATCACGTACTGAAATTAAAACCACCAACATATTCTAAGTGATTCCCTCAAAGTTGTCATTTGGCAGTAGAAAGTAATATTTCAGCAGCCGGCCACAAGTTTAGCCAAAATTGTTGGAATATTTGTGTTTAACAGGGAACAGGATCCAAGACTTAGTGTTTACGAAAAATGAAGAATTAGTGTATGTAATGTAATGTTGTGTACCAGCAAGTGTATAACTCAGGATCAGATGCATTAAAACAAAAGAATAGTCATTTTTTGCTGTGTTCCAGCAGCAGATCGCTTTAACATGGTGTAAAAGGAGCAGCTGTATTAAAGCATTAGGCAAAATGCAGGTGAGTTTCACTTGCATTCTGCCCTACTGCTTTCAAAGTCACACCATGTGGTGCATAAAAAGGTCACAGCTGCTGACAGAATGATGGCAAAAAGGCCAGGCATTGGTTAAAACGGGTTTGTTTTGTATTAAACTGTCTGATGTAATGTTTTTTTTTTTTTTCCAGGCTTAGATTTACACATGCAAAAAACAGTCAGTCCATGTACAACAAGGGGCAATTAATCCAGAGACGGGAAACTCTGAATGCAATTACAGGTCATTCTTCAGCTCTGGTTAAACATCTTTGGGTTTACTTGATGTACTATTGGTGCATTTTAAACATACCAACAACAAAGTAGTACAAATGACTTCATATCTTTGAGAATCTTCTCACAAAGATCATTATTTGACCCAGAAACTGCCATTTAACCCCTGACTCCTCACTAGTTTGTATGTTACACCAGTAGAGCTGTTTTTGGCCATAGACCACACCCAAACACTGTAGTGTACTTAGGTTAGGAGAGGTCATGTGGTCACTGAGCTGGAAGCTTGAGCTGGACTGTCCTCTCTCAGTGAATGACGCTATAGGTTTTTCATTAAACCTCTTATTGGGATATAATTTTTATTGAAACTTGTCTCTAGCAGTTATATAAATAAGAGCATGTAAAATAAGTGGGTTGAACTTGGCACCCTGCTCACACTGAAATCTGGTCCATCTCGGTTTGTTTTAAAAGGGTCAGTTTTTACCCAAACTCAGTTTTGTTCCTTCAGCCGAAAGGAAAACGTGATCGAAGGTCCCAGACGAGATGAATGTGACTTTCGCGGTCGTGAGTGAAGAGGTTTTTGTTTTTTGTTTTTTGTTTTTAAATCTTTTGTAAAACTTTCCATATTTCCCTTGTCAGGAATAAAGATTTCAGAGAGCCATGATTAGTTTTACTCATGAAAACATTGCTAATAACCCCCGCTCTTCCTGGTGTTCACACTCGCTATGTGATGCTTTGAGGGCATTTTTAGTGTGAAGGTCAGATAGACTTAGTCAAAACATCTTTAATCATAGCTGTGAAATAATCTTTCCTGACATTGAACCCCACTAATGTGTGTGTGGGGTTTGTTTTGGGGGGTTTTCTTCCCAGAAACCACACGAAATACCCTCTTTGTAAATGCAGTAAACAGATTTGCATTGATTTAGCAGTAGCTTTGGGAGATTTGGCTGTTTGAGCAATGTCAATAGCCCTGTGTACACCAGCTCTTTATGTCTGATTGACTCAGTCTAAATGGGATCCTGTTCTTTTGTTAAATGCTTAAAAGTTCAACCCACATCTTTCCCAAGGTTTGTACTTTCTCATACATGATTTCTTTTGCCTGCTGCTTTAAAGAAAGTAGAGCATGGAATTAAAGGCTAGTTAAGAAAGCAGAAAAGTTGTCTTTCTGGGAGGAACTGTTATAAGTGGCGATGTGCACGATGAGTTCTTGTTGTAAAGTTGTTTTTCAACTGGAACTGTTACTGAGGTTACAGACCTCATGTATTAAACGATATGAAAGGCTTCAGATAAAACTCTGCACAAAATGAAAATTTGAGAGGATGAAGGGAAATCAAACACGATGCTTACAGAGCCTTAGTTTTTGTGTTCTCATTCTGTGTATCAGTATTCTCTCATAAAAGAATACCGTGAGGTTCACGCAGAAGCATCTGTTTCTGTGAAGAAGTGCTCTTTGTAGAGCTGTAGAATTGGGTCCCTTTAAAGAAAGCCATCTGATTTTTATAAAAACAACAAATGCATATATTAATACAGGAAAAGTTTGCATACAATTGTTTGGCAGAAGCAGTTTGGGAAACCCAGGCAAGAGGATTATTGATCCTGATTTTTGTAATCCTTACAGCTTTAGACGTGTAGCGGAGCTGCAAACAAAAACACGTTCGCTAACTTTGTCGTCAGGAATTCCAGGATTTTACGTTGCGGAGTGGGGAAAGGGGGCTTTTTATGTGGCCCGTGTGTAATTCCGGTCACAAACCTCATGATGAGTAGGCGCACGGATACAGGACGTCTCTTTCTGACTTATCTTGTGATCTAAGGACTTTTCTGAGTCAGTAGGAGGAAAAAGAGCCTGTGTCTGAAGAAGGGATGAGTGGGAATTGGTGCTTATTGTGCTGCACTAAGAGCAGAGGCTCTTTAGTGTCTTGATGTTTTAGAGCAAAAAGAGTTTGAAGTTCACTTTTGGTCACCAAACACAAACAATGTTTTATTGTCCATTTTTATTCCTGTTGACACTGCTGGCAATTTGTTTTGTTTTTCTCTTGCATTCATTCATATTGGCTTCCAGTGTTAGAAAATGAGTGTTTTTCTGTTACAAACCCTGCTGTGCTTTGGCTTCGGATGAGCATTGAACAAAGAGTGATAAAATATGCACTGAAACTGCAGTTTCATTGCCAGATTGTCTGTATATTTTTAGCTTTGGCCTAGAGTAGTTTTGCATGAGTCAGTGTCATAAATAAAACCGATTTAGCTTATAGTGAGCTTTGGAGCAACTCCTCAGTTCTTCTTCTGCCTGAATCAAGTTGTTGTAGATGTTTTGAATGTGATGGTCATACTGAGCTTTAAAACAATTTATTTATTTTTTTAAAAAAAGGATTCATTTAATGCAGGCCAGATGGAGGGACGTTGATTTGTGAGTAATGTGGCTGGTGGAGAAATGTGATGCAGTAGAACTGTTGGGGCAAATCCAATCAGCTGTTTCTTCTGCAGTTTTCTTTTTGCCACGGAGTCTGATCAGTCGTTGTTTAATGAAACAAATGAAATTAAGACATGCTAGCGCTCTGTTATTGGGATGCTTTTATTTAAATAAATCTAGTCCTGGACTGAAGCAGAAGGGTCGGTGCTAAAATTAGATGCTTGCACACCTGACTGCTCTCTGCTTGTGGATGCTGTGTCAGAGTGGAGATGAGGACAAGTCTTTGTGGTGTCACAGGGAGAAAGGGAGCAAATGAAGGAGGGGGAGAAGGGATCATTTATATAATATCTGAGAACACTGCTCTCTGTGCTTTGCCAGCAAACACTGTCAGGAGTTGTTTATGTGCAGCCTGTGTGCTGAGGGTTTGTACTTATTCCTGTCTTTGTGCAGTTTCACTTCAGTTTACCGTGAAGCTCCAACAAGCTCTGACAGCAGGCACAAGTCTTTGTTTTAAGCACAGCACGACTTTACCCGTTTGACTCGAACGTGGAAACCCACCATCCTGAACATGGCAGCCTGCCCAGCTTGGGCTTTGTGCCAGCCGGTCAGACCCTCAGTCGGGGACAGACACAACACAGAAGCGAGCTGTCCGAGACAGAGGTATTTAGACGGTGCATGAGTAAGTGCTCGTGCAGCCAGAGCGCCCTCGGTCTTTGTGGCCTTCTGCCCAGTTTGAAGGGCAAAGCCACCGTGGTCTACGTGAAGGACCCAGGCCGAGTGAAATGGAAATGGCTGCTGGCTAAGTGCACTTGAGTCTTTGAGTCTTCTAAAATCATGAATATTTAAAGACTCTATTTTTGTCCTCCTCTCTCTGTCCTCTTGGAGCTTATTGTTGGACATGATTACAAATTATTTATTGATGACTGCAGGATTTCAAAAATATTGCTGTGGAACACGTTGTGATAAATGTCTGGTTGGGAAGCTGTGGAGTCACCTTAGGTTCCCTATTGATGAGCAATGACTATCCTGATGTTTATCCCTAATCAGCCGTGACGGCTGTCTTTCAGTGTCTGTCCCTCCTTAGGAAGGAGGAGCCAACCAGCTCCTTTGGGGTTGAAAAAGCTCACTGTCCTTGTGTTAGTCAGCCTCACAGATGTAAAGGATGTGCTGGTTTTGAAACCAAGATGCACCACTTTGACCGTGCAGCTTTCAGAAATGTCTTATCTTAACTTCAGGGAGCTAATACCAGAATTAAGTTAACTAATGCTGTACCTGAAGTGTGAGGGGAAACGACTGAGTCATGGTTGGTACATAAGGGTCGACTTAAATGCACCTCTCACACCTTTAATAATGAAATGAACCCAAGGGAAAACGCACAAGTGGCGAAACTGCACTTTAGTCTTCACTGGGAGTCAGACCAGATGTGAGTGGAAACTTGGAAATGTTTCTAATTTGTAATTGGTCACCATTAATCTTATCTTTCTCCTGACTTGTGTAAACCCCAAAGATATTTGGTTTACATTATAGAAAACAAAATGCTGTACGATCAGTAACTGTAGGCTCATGTGCAGGCCTTCAGTTTGTATTCGCATCCAGCAGAGCCAGTGTTCACTGTCAGCCTGGATCCATGTGAAGGCCCATTCATAGCGAGCCTGGCAGGCAGGCGGAGACACGTGGGCCTCCTCTGCCTGGCTCCCTTCTCCTCCTCCTCACCCATTTCTTTCTCGTCTCACTCCTTCCTCCCCTCTTTCTCTAGTGAACATCTTATAACTCTTGCTGTTATGCAAGTATTGTCCCAGTTTTTCATTTGTGCTGTCATAGCACCACCTGTTGGTGAATCTGCTCTCCAGTCTGTCTGTAATTCTTAAGGTCTTAAAAGCATTGAATCCATGTCTGTAAGATGCCCTAAATTTAATTTACACATTTTTTTTGAGTATTTACTCTTTGATGGTGTAGATGTGGCATAAACTTGAGACACATGTTTGAGTGGGTGGTGTTACCAGAGGCAGTCCGTCACGCAGTTATTAAAAGTAGTATTTCATGTCAGGAGCTCAACAAATATAAATTAGATTAACTTCTGCCAATTATCTGGCTTCTGGTCATTCTAATTGATTTAAAGGGGATTTAATCGTATTAAACACGAGTTAAAATATCAGTAAACAGATTTTCAGTTTCCTGCTGGTTTTTATCATGAAATGGTTTCAAGTTGTTTTCAGTGCGGCATAAAAAGGTGGAATTCCTAATAGCAACTCAAGGAGACATCTTAAGTATCTCATTTTATTTAAACCAAAGATTAAATCTCATGTATGTATAAATAAATAAATAAATAAAAGAAGGAAAATACCGTAGTTAGTTCTGACATGGTAGAAGAAAAGAAAATTTGTACTTAAGCTCAAAAACTGGGTGGAATTAAACTGGCACGGATCAAAAAGTGTATATTCTTCTTCTTTGGTGAAAAATGGGAAATTGCTGAACCAGCTTGTTAGTCCTACCTGCTGTGCTGGCTGCAAAATATTGGCCACAGATGTACTTTAAATATTTAACTCTGTTCTTCTATCACTCTACTTGGTGATGGTTCTCTTTCTTACCGTTCTCTTGTTCCTCTCCAGGTCCAATCAGCAGCATCCTCGTGAATAAATTCGGCAGCCGACCGATCATCATCCTCGGCGGTTGTCTGTCAGGGTCTGGTCTGGTTGCAGCTTCTTTTTGCAACACGGTGCAGCAGCTGTACTTCTTCATTGGAGTAATTGGAGGTTTGTTTTTCATCAGTTTTCTTGAGTAAATCCTCAAAATGAGGGAAATCTGGACACTTTCTTTTGATGGCTGAGTTTTGTTTTCTTGTTAATGTTGTTTCTGTGCCCTCGTTTCCAGGTTTGGGTCTGGCCTTCAACTTGAATCCGGCGCTCACTATGATCGGTAAATACTTCTACAAGCGCCGGCCCATCGCCAACGGCCTCGCCATGGCGGGCAGCCCCGTGTTTCTGTCGACCTTGGCTCCCTTCAACTCCTGGCTGTACGATGAGTTTGGGTGGAGAGGCAGCTTCCTCATCCTCGGTGGACTCCTGCTCAATTGCTGCGTGGCCGGCTCGCTAATGCGTCCCATCGGCCCCAAACCTCAGCCGCCCAAAGTGGAGGCGGTGGAAGCAGGGCAGCCTCAGCCCAAGAGGACGGTGCTGCAGAAAATCAACTCCTTCATCGACTTGACGCTCTTCAAGCACCGCGGCTTCCTGCTCTACCTGCTGGGCAACTTCGTCATGTTCTTTGGTCTCTTTTCTCCGCTCGTCTTCCTCTCCAATTACGCAAAGAGTAAGGACATCAGCAAAGAAAAGGCGGCCTTCCTTCTGTCAGTGCTGGCGTTCATCGACATGTTTGCTCGGCCCTCAATGGGCTTTCTGGCGAACACCAAATGGGTCCGGCCCAGGATCCAGTACTACTTTGCTGCATCCGTCCTGTACAACGGTGTGTGTCACGTGCTGGCGCCGATTTCAAAAGACTACTCGGGATTTGTGGTCTACGCTATCTTCTTTGGCTTTGGTTTTGGCTGGCTGAGTTCTGTGCTGTTTGAGACGCTGATGGACCTGGTGGGGGCTCAGAGGTTTTCTTCAGCTGTGGGTTTGGTCACCATCGTGGAGTGTGGGCCGGTGCTGTTGGGCCCACCACTGACAGGTAAGACATCCCAGGGAGAGGGAGGGTGGAGATTTGGGCTGTTATAAAACTTGATGTCAAAGATTATCGGTGTAATAATTGTTAAAATGTTGACGCAGATCATAAAATCTGAATCTCCTTTCTTTTGCCCGCCTCCAGGCAGCTTCTATAACTACTACCAACACTATGACTTCACCTACATTACCTGCGGCATCGTCCTCATTATAGGAAGCATCTTCCTCTTTGTGGGAATGGGCATCAACTACCACATGTTAGACCGAGAAAAGAAAGCGGAGGAGCAAAAAGAGAGGGAGGAGCCCAAAGAGGAGCGTGCTGCCATGCTGCCGCCTTCTTCTCCGGCAAAATCGAGCGAGGATGGCGTACCAGCAGCTGTCACAATGGACGAAGTCTCCAGGATGGATGAGGACACAGTGTAAACGGACAAACTTGGGAAGAAATGAACACGCACGAGAGCTGCAGTTACAACCACACAGCATCTTTATAGAGAATAATCCCTTTTTACACCACCCTGAAGCCATAGAAACCGCTCCATGATTAAAACCAGAGGCCTGCTGCGGTGACGCTGATGTGAATCTGCGCTCGGCCTCATTCAGACCTCCGGTTTTTGGTCTTTGACGTGCCTTTTTGGTGAACTGAGAGCGTTCCAGGCGGTGCTGCTTGCATAAACACCAGATAGACGCACAGCAGACGGAGTGACTGTAACCATCCCGGAAAGTAACGAGGACTTTGTCTCAGGGTCTCAAGCTGTCACAAAGGTTCAGGGCCTCGTGCGCACATTTTTTAACTATTTTTTTTAATAAGTCACCATACATGTTACAATACAGAAATTTCTCCCTCGTGTTCTGCACAATCACTTCACTGCTCAAGGGCTGGATGTAAGCGCTCGCATCCACATTGTTAATCATAATATTAGTTAGGATTTTTTTTTAATTAATTAAAAAAATATGGGGTAAAAAGTAGTTCACTACAACACAGGGAAAAGTTAAGGTTCTTCTTTTTAACATTTTAGGAATGTAGAATAACAAATATCAGTTTTCCTGTTTGTGGAAAATCAGGAAGCTGTAATGTAGGAATCTTCTGAGCGGTATGAAACTAGGTCAGGATGCAGGTATGGAGGCAGAAATGTGGAATTTCAGAGCAGCTCTGATCTTTTATTGAACTGATGAAGATTATGAACATCATCGGAACAGGTCACACAGACGGGCTCCAACCCTGCTGATGCATCCACCACGTGAGCTGCAGGCTGGGTTGGGTAATAAACGGCACCACACGTTGGTGCGTGTGAGGGGGTGAAGCTGTGCGGAGTAGATGGATGGTTGGGTGGCTTCTGTGTGCTCTGAACATTGTTACAAAAATGTTTTTTTTTAATGTAATTTTTGGGGCGCAGAACAGCACATTTGTGGTATTTGAATAGTGAAAACGGTTTAGTTCAGTTTCTACAAATCCCTACAAAAAAAGTAAAATATTTTAGCTTTCAGGAAACGACAATCTAACGAGGTCCTTTTTATAGAGTTTAATGTATTTGGATCAGTGGCGACGTGAGTGAGTGAGGTGTGTTTGTGTTCCAGCAGGTAGGTTTAAAGTTTGGGGGGATTTTGTCATTTCATTCATTGTAAGTCCAGTCAGTTTGTGAAGTGTACAGAATTACTCATATCAGGAGGAAAGATTTAACCGGGTGAATTAACGGGGCTGAAAGCTGAGAACGTTTAAAGAACCCTGTTGGGAGAGGGACTAACACGGTTATCATCTTTGTTTTCATCACGTTGAGAGTAACAGAAATATTGCACATGACCAGCTTTAGAATCGGATAAAGTCCCTGCCCACATGAGACGTTTCCACGGTCGCCCGAGCATTTCCTTCCTCACAGAGGAAAGCTTCCAATTGGGCAACAGATTTTACATTTCCCTTTCAGTAGGAATGGATACTTATTATGTTATTATGTATTTTGGTGACTAAATATGACCAAATGTTAGTATTCAAAGTGATTAATTACAAAGTGTGAATTTGTTTCTTCATGTGTATTTTTGTAAAGGTACTACTGGTATCAATGGGGAAACTGGTCTCTCTCCTCGCTGAAGTATCCACCTGTTCAACAGGTTCATATTTCAGGGGAAAGAGCATCTGCTGCATCGGTACGGCCACATTCGACTGCTCCAAACCCTGATTATTTTTCTCCGTTAAAAAATAAATAAAAACAAAAAACTGACCTTCATGAACTTGTTGGTAATCGATAAACTGTTATTCTAGGTTTTATTTTCTGAATTATGGTCATTTCAAATTTAAAGTTGTTCTACTTTCAGGATGAGCGTTTTGTGAAGTGACACACTGAAAGGAGGCGATACTGTTTCATTTAAACTGGGTTTTAAAACGGTATTATAATAGTCGCCTTTTTTAGTGTTTTTATAAAGCGGACAAAACTTTAGTTTCTGTAATATTTTTTCTTTTAGTTGCTGTGAATTTTTTTTATGTGTGTTCTTATTATTTTGAGTGTTGAGAATAAACAGTTTTTAAAATGAAACCTGTTGTATTGATTCTGTAACTTAAAAATAAAGCTTTTTTTTTTTTTCAAAATTAGCAGAAAAACTGTACATTTACAGTCATTACACATGTCTAACATTTTTATATAAAACTTAAATTCTTGCACTCAAATCCTGAAAAGGAGGCATCTCTATATACCTGAAGCTACCACAGCAAGCAAATACTTACAGAAGCTTGACGAGAGAGAAACGTGAAACTCGATGACAAATTCACACTCGCTGGACATTTCATTAGGTACACCTTGCTAGTACAGGGTTAGACTTCCTTGATTCTTCATGGCACATCTGTTATCTGTTGGCTTGAGATCAAGGGGGACATACAAATCCAAGAAACCAGTTTCAGATGATTTGAGTTCTATGATGTGTTATCCTGCTGGATGCAACCATCAGACATAGAAGGGTCGGACAGCACCAATCTGTGTGTATGCTGCGGTGTTTAAACCACGCTCATTTGGTGCCACGTGGCAAAAGGCATGCCAGAATATATCCTCCACACCAGCAGCTCGGCCTGCTGGTGTAAGGTGGGATGGATTCGTGCTCGTTCACTCCAAATTCTGACCCCTACCATGTGAATGTTTTTCTAATTTTCCATTATCCAATTTTGGAGAGCATGTGTAAATTAGAGTCTCAGTTTCCTGTTCTTAGCTGAGAGGAGGGGCACCCAGCGTGCTTATCTGCTGCTGCAGCCCATCTGCTGTAAGGCTTAACATGTTGTGCATTTAAAGATGCTCTTTTGCCTCTTTTACTTTTACATACTTTGGTTATAGCCAGGAGTTATGAGTTATTGTATAGTTTTGCTTTTTTCCACCCAGAGAATCACTGCTCACTGGATATGTTCTCTTTCTTAACAGCTCTGTAAACTCCAGAGATGGTTGTGTGTGTGTGGAAATCCCAGCAGATCAACAGTTTCTGAAAGACCAGCCTGTCTGGCACCAACAATCACACCTTTTCCAAAATCACTTAAATTACTTGTTGTGATTCTCGGTTTGAACTTCAGCTGGTTGTCTCAACATGGTGCTTTCAGTCGTGCAGACAAAGTTATTTGATTGGCTGATTTAAGAATTTGCACTGGTGTACCTAATGAAATGGAATGAGTGCATAGCTCTAACATTCAGATTTAACAAACACGACCCAGAAATGAGCCTCACAGGTGCTGGAAGATGGATTTTTGTAGTCTTTGGAGAGACTCGTGGTTTCCATGGTGTCATGGAGGGTGTGTGAGTGATGGAGCTCTGCAGTGCCGAAGCCCAATAATGTAGTTATTGTGTTTTTCATGGCTAAGGCAATACACACAGTTACATTTTTGTTTTAGAATTTTTTTCCACATATTTCTATTGTAATAAAAATCCTCGCTCCACTCACCCCTGTTCATTTTCAGCGCCCCTTCACATGGGTTCACTCGGGTCTCATTTTAAAAGTTCAACTAATATTTCCTTAAACATCAGCCGACTCAGCTGTGCCACTGAGAGGGAGTTGCTCTTCATCGTGTCCAGTGTTCAGTTGGAGGTGTGCGTGATGGTGGAGTCGTTTGTTTCGGAAGCTCGGCGCCGAGTGTGCGGCCGACAGTGAAGCAGCAGACGAAGCTCCGGGGAGACGCTGCTGGAGAAGGCGGAGTAGATCCAGGGGTTGGTGCAGGAGTTTAGACTGGCCAACAGCATCAGCAGGGTAAACGCTACACCTGTGTACACACACAGGAGGAGGAGGAGGTCCGTAAATGGCACAGGGGACTGCAGATCAGGCCATCAAGTCAAACTCTGCTTCAGGGTGGTATCTTTGGTAGCCCTAAAGGTACTTATTGTAGTCTTGTATATAAAAGTTTATTAGAGAGTTTTAAAGTTAACACAATGACTTCATTGTTGTACAGTTGTACAGTTTGGACCCTGCACCAGCTGTCACAGGATGAGAGGCGGAGAAACACCCTGACAGATTACTGCTCCATTTAAATTGGGTTAAAGGTATTTATGTAAAGTTATTTAATTTTTTTTTAGGGATGTAGAGAACAAAAAAATCCTTAAAATTACATCAAGTTGGTCTGGCAGGACTGTGTGTGTGTGTGTGTGTGTGTGTGTGTGTGTGTGTGTGTGTGTGTGTGTGTGTGTACCGTTCTGAGGTGGGTCAGGGTCCCAGGCGGCCCAGAGCTGGACGCTGAAGAACGGGGCCCAGCAGAGCGAGTACACAAGCACAATGACCAGCGTCATCCTCACCGTTTTTGACATGGCTGCTGTTACCTCTCCACCTCTGACAGGAGGCAGTTTGGTGGGGTGTGGTGAGCAGGCAGCAGAGGGCGTTGTTGGACCTGGTGGGACGCCGGCTTGCAGCTGAGCTGACGAGGAGGACAAAAACATTCCTGTGACGCTCACTCTCCCTGAATTTCCTCATTTCATGAGTTAAGACCATAAATATGGTTACATTTTTATTTATTAATTTTTTATATATAACTTTTTGATTGTAGTAAAAGCACATATTAGCTAATTTCAGGCATGAGATGAGGAGCATACTCCAGATCTTAGTCACCTTCTACCAGCACATTGCTTTAGGAGTAAGACTGCAATAAGTCAAGTGCCTGAAGCATGATCAGAAATGGGTGAAGAGTTTTTATGGAAAGTTTAGTTTACCTGAGCAGCACCAACATGTCAACCATGCCCTTTCTCAACTGCAGGACTGCTTCTCAACAACTGTATGGGATTTATTCTCCAGCCACAACCTCCAGGAGTACACGGACACTGTACTCTCGTACATCAGGAACTGTGTTGACAATGTCACCGTCAACAAAAGGGTCAGGGTGTTTCCAAATCAAAAACCCTGGATGAATAGCGAAGTGCAATCCCTCCTAAAAAGCCGCAACACTGCCTTCAAGTCAGGGGACAGGGCTGCGTATAGGGCGGCCAGGGCAGACCTGAGTAGAGGCATCAGGAAAGCTAAGGCCGCCTATAGGAGGAGGATTTGAAGATCACTTTGCTGACAACGACCCCAGAAAAATGTGGCAGGGGATCAATCACATTACCAACTACAGAAGCAATAACCAGGAAACATCTAGGACTGATGCCTCACTGGCTGAGGATCTAAACCGTTTCTTCGCCCGCTTTGAGACGACCAGGCCCTCAGCTGCCACACCACTTCCACCCGCCCCCAGCACTGGCACACTAACACTTAGGGAGCACCAAGTGAGGTGTGTTCTAAGGTCAGTGAATCCCAGGAAGGCGGCAGGTCCTGATGGAATACATGGAAAGGTTCTCAGAGCATGTGCTGACGAACTGACCGGAGTCTTCACTAAAATCTTCAACCTTTCCTTGTCATCAAACACCGTCCCACCCTGCCTCAAAACCTCCACCATCATCCCCATCGCCAAGAAGACAGCTGTGGCCAGCCCAAATGACTACAGGCCTGTTGCACTTACGCCTGTAGTGATGAAGTGCTTTGAGAGACTGGTCTGTCAGCACATCAGGGCCGGTCTGCCTCCCACTCTGGACCCCCACCAATTTGCCTACAGGACAAATCGTTCCACCGAGGACGCTATCACCATAGCGCTCCACACTGCGCTGAGTCACCTGGAGCACCGAGGAAGCTATGTGAGAATGCTCTTTCTGGACTTCAGCTCAGCATTCAATCATATCATCCCGGAGATCCTGGTCCAGAAACTGTCTCACCTGGGACTCTCCACCCCCATCTGCCTCTGGATCAAGGACTTCCTGACAAATAGACCACAGTCTGTCAGACTCGGCCCCCACCGGTCCAGCACCATCACACTCAGCACCGGGTCTCCACAAGGATGTGTTTTGAGTCCCCTCCTGTTTACGCTCTACACATCCGACTGCTCCCCTACCCATCTCTCAAACACCATCATAAAGTTCGCAGATGACACCACAGTGGTTGGACTCATCTCAAAGGGGGATGAGTCGGACTACAGAGATGAGGTCAACAGACTGACTGAGTGGTGTTCAGTTAACAACCTCCAACTGAACACCACGAAAACTAAAGAACTTATCTTGGACTTCAGGAAGGGCAGAGCACCACTTTACATTCACGGGAACTGTGTGGAGAGGGTACACTCCATGAGGTTTCTGGGCGTGCAGATATCTGATGACCTCTCCTGGACTGCAAATACTACAGCGGTGGTTAAAAAGGCCCAGCAGAGTCTCCACTTTCTGAGAGTGCTCAGGAGGAACAACCTGGAGGACAGGCTGCTGGTGACATTTTACAGAGCCACCATAGAGAGCATCCTAACGTATGGCATAACAACATGGTATGCAGGGTGCTCAGCTGTGGACAGGAAAGTACTGCAGAGGATCATCAACACAGCCCAGAAGATCACTGGCTGCTCTCTGCCCAGCCTGGAGGTCACTGCAAACTCTCGGTACCTCAGCAGAGCTGGCAATATCATCAAGGACCACTCTCACCCCAGCAACCAACTGTTTGAACTATTACCGTCAGGCCGACGGTACAGGTCACATAAAACCAGGACAAACAGATTCAGGGATAGCTTCTTTCCCAGAGCTATCACCGTAGTAAATAAGCACTAAAACAATTGAACCTATTCCATACCGTCACTGTCATTATATTATGCTGCTATCCTGTATATATTGTACATACTATTGTTTGAGTACTTACGATTGTTTTTTTGTACTTTTTATATTTTACATTTATATTTATTATTGAAACTTGCACCAAGGGAGTGGCACTCCAATTTCGTTGTACTCTGTACAATGACAATAAAGGCTATTCTATTCTATTCTATTCATAACTGCTGACTGAGAAACTGAAGAACAGTGCACATTCTTAGGTGGTGACGTGCCAGTCATGTGGTAAAACACTCCATAATTCATATACATAATTAACTGTCTGCAGACCAGTGAGGACCATAATTTACCAAATGAACATAATGTTGATTTCAACAGGACTGCAGAGCTGTGACTGAGCGCCTAAACTAATCAGGAAACATGAGTTAGCATGAGGGTTGTTTCTCCATAAGCTTCTTTACAGACTGTTGTCCTTTACCAACTACAGCAGTCGACCCCTGCTGGCCATTATAAACTATTGCAGGTTTAAGGCTTATAGATACGTCCATCTCAAGGCTCAGTGTAGGATAAATAAGCATTATTATCATTAGTGAATCATGCAAAGCTACTGTAGAGTCCAAGAATGATCACCCATCGGGAGGTGCTGATAGGTGGACACAGGGTCCAAACTGCAGTCATTTCCAGGGTTGTTGTACACGAGGGGGGAAACATAGAAGGGGACATTAGACTTTCCTTCTCCTCCTCCTCTTTTTCCTCTCTGGGTTTCTTTTCTTAATTGAGGGAGAGCAGCGGGGGACAGGCGGCAGTCTGATTTCAGGTACAGATTGTTATGAATCTCCTTGAAGATTCGCACCTAAAGGAAGAAAGACGAGAGAGGGTAAATTTTTGTTTCCAGAAGCATCTTGTCTTCTGGTTCTCTCTGTTCTACCTGGCAGATGGTGATGATCAGAACGGGGAGGATGAAGATGGCTAGCGTCATCCACGTCACGTAGGCTTTGAGGCCCCAGGACTCGGCAAAATTGCCCCAACATTCATACACACCTGGAGCCAACTCAGAACGGGAAAAGATAAAGACCTGCAAACCAGCAAAGAGATGAGTGGAGATGATGGAAACAGCAAACAGTCTGATTTTGTGTTTGTGCTCTCTTCTATAAGATTTTAATTGGCACGGTGCTTATTTACGACTTCGTGTTTTAACGTGATAAAAGTGTTGGTTGGAAATGTGACAAAATGGGACACTACCTCTGTTTATCTTCAAAGTTAAAGGCAAACATATGTGAATTTGATGATAGGCCTTTAAAGTAACAGCTTAAGACCAGAATGATGCCCCTGTCCTTTCTTTGACTATCACCTTGTTTTCTTCTCTTTTTAATGTTAATTTTAAGAGCCTAACGGTAATCAGAACCTAAGTTATGCATCTCAGGAGCAGATCTGTGGCCAGCCTCTTTGGCATACCTGTGGCAGGCTGAGCAGCAGCGACAGTACCCAGGCCAGCACGATGAAGCTGTTCCAGCGCTTCGTGGCCCCGCTGCGATGTGCCTGCAGGGGGCAGCAGATAGCATAGTGGCGATCCACTGTCATGGCCACGATGATGTAGGAGGAGGCAAACATTCCAAGAACCTGAAGGTACTTCACCAGGCGACATAAGAAGTCAGGACCAGGAAAGCGTCCCTTAGCGTCCCACACGAGCTGGGGCAACACCTCAGAGAGGAAGAGGAGAGGGAGGAAGGATATATGCTTTTGAAGTAACATGTCGCAATATATTTTCTCTGTGGAGAGTTGTGGTATATGATGCACAAATTTTATGCACACACACATGCACACAAACACACAGACATTTGTGCATATTAAAAATCTCGAGGTACAGATTAGTGTGCTCATTCATAAATCCCAGAGCACATTTACATATTCCAGTTCAAATTTACAGATTAATGCAAAAACTGAAAGACTTCTGTGCACTTTTCTGAATTTGCATGTACATTTAAAATCTCAAATTTGTGTACAAAATACAAAAAACACCAAAAAAAAAAAAAAAAATCAATGAAAAATTACAAGTATTTGTGCACATAATAATGATAATGGATTGGATTTATATAGCGCTTTTCAAGGCACCCAAAGCGCTTTACACTATTCATTCACTCTCGCATTCACACACTGGTGGAGGCAAGCTACGGTTGTAGCCACAGCTGCCCTGGGGTAGACTGACAGAGGCGAGGCTGCCATATTGCGCCATCGGCCCCTCTGGCCAACACCAGTAGGCGGTAGGGTAAAGTGTCTTGCCCAAGGACACAACCACCAGGACAGAGAGCCCGGGGATCAAACCGGCGACCTTCCAGTTACAGATACGCTTCCCAACCCCCTGAGCCACGGTCGCCCCCACATAATAGATTCATGTGCACTTTTACCCCAGTTTAGTTCACATTTACATGTAGGTGTGCATATTTGGAAACCTGTGAAGACATTTGCTGACTTCAGTGTGTTTGTCTTTTTCCAGATTTATGTATTTGTTTACAAACTGTAAAAAAAAGATCACATTTCCAGATTATTGTATCTGCACATATTTTCAGATAATACTACAATTACACACCTGTATAACACACATATAACCCACAACGTGAATGAGTGTTTGCTACCTGGAACAGCGCCACCACCAGGTCAGCCACACAAAGGTTCAGCATGAACTGGTGCAGGGGGTTGTGGTGTCGCCTTCGTCTTAGCAACACCACCAGGACCAGCCCGTTGCCAAGTAACGCCATCACAAAGATGACCGCCAGCACCACCACCTCGGCCACGGCCAGCAGGGCGTCTCGTTCCCGCTCTGTAGCATTAGCACCGGTGGGGGTCTCAGAGACCGCCGGCCGGTCGATGGACGTATACGTGTCTGTTATCACAGAAACGGACATGCTGGCTGGGACAGGAGAGGAACACCACAGAAAGACAAGACGATGACATCGTTATGAAGGAAAACTGTGAAACAAACGTTAATCTTTCCTGGTCCATCTTTTGTATACAGGTGATTATTATTACGTTTTAGAAAGTTTAATACAAGCACCTCAAAAGGGGGTTGAAGTACAGCACTCAAGTTAATTTAAAATCTATTTATTTATTCAATTTTTTCTTAATTTGATGTATTTTCAGTCACTATAAAAAGTTTATTGTTAAATTCTTAGAATCAGGTGCAGTTTTGGGGAAATCCCTAACTGCCCGTAAGTTTGTAATGATGTTCACTGGAGACTGGCCAAACAACAGGACTTCATTACTGCCTTCACATTTGGTCTGATGACCCCTGTGGGCTCTATGATTGTGTCTGCGTGCGTGCACTGAACTGTAAAAACTGCCGAGTGTCTTTGTTTGTGATTCTTGAAGCCCTCCACCCCTTTATTTGTTTGTTTAGGGAAGAAGTGTTGATCTCTTTTTAGTTCACGGGACACAAAAAGACCAATTTGATCCCAAATGGGCCAGACAAATGACACTGTTGTATAAGATCCTATAAAAACATTTGAAAATGTTCCCTTTCTTTTTCTGTCAGATGCACTGTTTCTTTTTTCTTTTTTCTTCTTTTCCATTCTTTCAGTTATTGTACTCATTACACCCATTTTCCCCAAATTCTTTGAGTATTTATTTGAAATAATCACTAATCTAAATAACGTCCAAAACAGGTTTTTTTTTTAATCATTTATGAAGTTTATGCATTTATTCAATAAAGAGCTAATCTGTTTGATTTTCCTTGGCGTTCAGGCTGCTACTCTATTCTTTACATCACTTCCTCTTTCCCATCAAACTCAGTATCAACATCATTACTGTAGGCCAATCATTCTCTTTTCCTCCTTTTACCCAATCAGCCTCTCTTCTTTGCGGTTTAAAGCTCCGGGCTCTTCTGTTATTTGCCTTTCTGACTTGCTTCCTCCTTATCCAATCCTCCTTTGCCATCTTCATCACCACCAGCACATATCATGTAGATTCTGAGCACCGGGGCAGTCTAATTTATTCTGTATGTGAATAAATCCCCTCTCCTGAACTATTGCTAAACCCTACATGGAAGTGGCTGGTAAAGGTAGACCTAAGCAGCTTCCCAGCAAACCCAAAGCAAAGTTGGACCTACAAAATCCAAGTGTGCAAAGAGCTGTTCAAGTGTCCTAAGAACCTCTGGCCAAGTCTGATTTTACAGGCCCATTTCTGCATAGTTTTCATTGTTTTAAGTGCTTCTGTAGTCAGGTGAGTGTGACAGACATCAGTAGATGCATGCAGCATTTGCAGACATAAAAACACTTCTTAGTCTCAGACAACAAATTTCTTTGGGCAGTAGAAAAAGAAAGCTTCGTCTTGGTTGAGGTTATAGCATGGTCTACCCACTGACTCGCTGGAAGTGGGTAGATCATCATGGATAATGATGACCTCACACCTGGGTCATGAGTCATGTCATCCATATGCCTCCAGTGTTCTGTTTTATCTTGAACTGTTAATCCATTTTTGAAAGTCTATAGGTCCTAATTCAGTTCCCGGTGCAACTCCACACATGGCATTCAAAATCAGACAGATGTCCTGCTTGGTCATGAAATCAGATCCAAGTCCAAGTTTGAGGAGGCACCAAACTGCCCGTGAAGTGCACACTGATGCTGGAACATCCAAGGACGTTCGCACCGTACACCAGGGGCTCAAACTCCAGTCCTCGAGGGCCAGTGTCCTGCAACTTTTCCATGTGTCATCTGAATAAAATTAGTAGGTCATTAGCAAGAGTATAGAACTTGACTGCATGCTGAAGTGGCAACCCCTAACCCTACTCAAGTAAATTTAAGTAAATGTGTTTGGAAAGATATACTTCTCAAAGTATTTTTATTGCATCATGTTCATTCACACATGAGCTGCTGTAACATGAATCAAATGGCTGAATGTTCACCTCAGCATGCAGTCAGGTTCTATAGTCTTGCTAATGGCCTACTAATTGTATTCAGGTATGTTGCAACAGGGACACATGGAAAAGTTGCAGGACACTGGCCCTCGAGGACCGGAGTTTGAAACCCCTGGTCTACACAGAGCTCGTCAACTGATGCGTTTGCTTGTGTTGGCAAAACTGAATTAGGTCAGGATTTGGATTAAACGCAGCAAACTGCTCGCATACTTTGATGATCTGAGCTCCTAATGAGGTTGTTCTAAGTTCATCCACGTTTGGAGTCAAACACTTTGGTATGCGGATAACAATGCAACATGCTTCTGATTGCTTACTAAAAAGCAGCTCGTCGCAGGATGTCACACGTTTTAAATGCCTTTAATCAAGCTGTCATCAAATATAAATCCAGTCAAACCTTCATTGTCATTTGCATGCTAGAGCTTATAACTGCGTTTGTCGATGGCACCGTGAACTGTTCACAATGATTCCTGGAAGAGTCCATGCAGTGATAACGTCTGTTTTTAATGCAGTGCTGTCGGAAGACCCGTCCATCACAGGCATACCTGCCAACCTCGTCCTTTGTGCACAGAGATTTCTCGAGATTCTCCGATTTTTTTGATGATATCACATACTGTAGATGATGAGTATTCAGAGTTTTCACAATATTACATTGATGAACATTATTCAGAAATAGATCCACTCTGTCTCTCCAAGATGCTATTTTCACATCAAACAGTCAATGTTAGTTGTTGCCATTTTACCTAATTACTTGAAAAGTGATTCTCCGGTTGTTAAAAGTACCACTTTTCCAGCCTTTTAAACACCTGCCTCAACATTTTTGAGATGTGTTAATGTCACCAAATTTAAAAAGGATTTTTTTTTTAATGCTGTCAGATTTCTCAGATTAAACATTTGATATGTTTTCTGTGCTCTATTGTGAATAAAATGCGGGTTTGTGACATTAGCACATCATTGCAGTCCGTTTTGTTTACATTTTAAACATCATCTTTTTAAAATTCAGTTTGTACAAAAACAGCTAAAGGGATTTGCCAGTGAATCATCTGAACTGGCAGCTGCTTTAAAAATCATTTGAGGTAATCATGGCCGAGTTTCTGATTTAATCCCAATTTTTACAATAAAAGAATCAGCAGATAAATTATTGATTTAAAAAAAAAACAATCATTAGCAGACAGAAAATGATTTAAATGAACTCCAACAGTAAAACCTTGCATGGATACAGTAATATTAATAATTTATTATATGATATATACTTTAACAGATTTTTTAACTTCATCCTCCAGTAGTTATATAATAAAAAACTGCAGCAGTTAAAACTCATTCACGAAATGCTAATTAAATGTCAAAACTAAAGAAAAGTCATCAGATCTCTTTTGTGTTTCCTCTTTTTCTATGTTTTTGTTGAAATTATTGCCAAGTCTGACAGAAAGAAACACTTTAGGATGTAAATGTTAGAGTCTGCAGGTGAGAAAGTATTTTTCATTCAGCCAGAGGTGTCTGCGCAGGAGCTAAATACAGGAGTCACTCCAGTATCTGTTTAAATAAACTGAACAGCCGAGACTGATGACGAAGGCTAGACGCCTGCTTTATATTGAAGGTTATTTGCCTATTGCTTTGCAAAAATGGCAAAGCTAAAGCTAAAATCATCAGTTTTCTTTAGTCTTTTCTGTTTTCTTTTTAAGCTTCAGTTTGAACATCATGAATTTCAGTCGGAAGAGGAGAAAATATTTTCCAGTCAGCTGGAGGTGTCAGGTTGGAAGCACTAGAGATGAACAGAGAATTCCCTCCAGCCCACGGAGCTGAGTTTGTTGACACCTTTCAGCTCCTTTAATCCTATTAGAAAGCTGGACACCTGCTGCTTTACACATAATTTGCTTTGCAGAAGCTGTAAAGCTAAAAATCAATTCAGTTTACTCGTTTTTTGCAATCCTCTACCGCTTTTGATTAAAAAAACAACAACCCTAAAGAGCATGAAACAGGAGGTTTAAAGTGCGTGACTAAAATTAACATCTATCTGTACAGATTTTAATTTCCCATTTTCATGAAAAACAGGAAAATCATAGGGAAATACGAGGAGACGGAGCCGACTCACCTCCTCCTCAGCGTCCCGTGAAGCATCTGTAGGAGCCAGGACAACCTGATCTGCTGTTGCACACACTAGCTGCATCCATGCTGTGTCTGCTGCATGTGTCTGTGTGCGTTTGTGTGCTTATTACACTGATGGTGACCTCTGCCAACTCGCTCTGCTGTTTCTCCTCTCTCTCCTCTTTAGCACATCCCTCTCTCTCTCTCTCTCGCCTTTCTGGATTTTATGAACGTGGAAGAAGAAGAGGAGGAGTGAGAGAGAGGGTGATGAAAGGACGCAGTGCCCGGGCAGTGTTTGCGAATTAATGTGATTTCCTGTTGATTATTGATATTAAACATGTGGCTGTTGGCCCTGCTTTTGATCCACCCTTCAGAGCAGATCATGGGGAACATACACCAGCAGATGAAATGAGATTTTCTCTATTAGGCTTCCAGAAATGATCAAAGACCCTTCATACGCGCAAACTAATATGCGTACGTGTGAGTTTGCATCAGCGGGTGGTCGAGAGGGGTGTGAACAGGCGGGCAGAGAGAGTGTCAGATGTTGTGACAGATGGGAGCTCAGGTTTTTGGAGAGAAATGAGAAGGCAGCAGCAACAGAAGGAGACTTGTCTTTCTCAGCAACCTTTTTCCCTCTCACCCCTGCTCCACTGTTTTCCCTTCTTCTGCATCTCGCTGTCCTGCATTCCAGTTTCCTCTCCCGCTCTCATTCCTTCTCCCTCTGACGGGGCGGTAATCTGCTTGCTTCCCCTCGATTGCTCCCTCATTTGGAGAGGCCTCTAATTATCGAGGGGCCCGCAGAGCAACCTTAAACATACACACAGAAACAGTCGAGCGCGAGGCTCATTGCTGCTCCGCCATTTGTGTATAAACAACTTTCTTATGTCTGGTAAGTATTAAGCATGAACACCAGGCTTCAATTAGTTTTAGTTTACGTGTGAATTGTTGGTTTTTTTAGCTGCACGGCAGTCAAAAAAAAGACTTTTGTTTTGGTCAGCAAATCCCTTCATTACCCGCTGTGCTCTGTTCCTACTGAAGAAACTTGTCCTTTTAAGGCAGGTCATGCATACTGATGTCTCGCAGCTTGTGTCAGTGTACTGGCTTCCTGCGCCTTTTAGAAAAGACTGTAAAGTCCTTTTACTTGTTTGTAAAGTCTAACCTTTCATAGATCTGCAACTTCCAGCTACGGGTGAGAGATATTTTGCTTCCTTTCTTTTATTTCCAGTTAACTGGAAACCATTATTGAGGCCTGGTTCTAGGGAAAAAAAAAGCCACACAGGTAGTTGAATGTTGATTTTATCCAAAAATGGCTACTGATCCATTTTAATTGTCCTGAAAACTCCCTGAAAGCCTTCCGTCGATCCAAAATGCTGCCGTGAGAGTACTGACAGGGACTAGAAAGAGAGAACATATTTCTCACTATTGGCTTCTCTTCAGTCCAGAATCAAATTCAAAACCCTGCTCCTCACATACAAGGTCTTGAATAATCAGGCCCCATCTTATCTTCATTACCTTATAGTACCATATTATCCCATTAGAGCACTTCGCTCTCAGACCGCAGGCTTACTTTTTGTTCCTAGAGGATTTAAAAGTAGAATGGGAGGCAGAGCCTTCAGCCTTTTGGCCCCTTTTATGTGGAACCAGCTTCTAGTTTGAACTTAAAAGATGTCTCTACTTTTAAGGTTAGGCTTAAAACTTTCCTTTTTGCTAAAGCATATAGTTGGAGCTGGATCAGGAGGTCCTTAATCCTCCCTTAGTTATGCTGCAATACGTTATGCTGGGGGATTCCCATGATGCTCATGATGTATGACTCACTATGTGTTCATACACCTCTCTGCATGTAATTATTAGTTCTTATTAATCTCTGGCTCTCTTCCACAGCATGTCCTTTTCTTCTCTTCCTCCCCTCACCCCATCCAGTCGCAAGATAGGTGCCCCTCTCTGATCCTGGATCTGCCGGAGGTTTCTTCCTGTTAAAAGGGACTTTTCCTTCCTACTCTTGCCAAGTGCTGATTGTGGAGTGTTTACCTTAAAATATAAAGTGCTTCGAGAAGACTGTTGGTGTGATTTGGTGCTATATAAATAAAGTTGAACCAAATTAAATTGAATCTGGATTTACGTCAGGGTGAGACTCTCTGCCTGTTTACTCTCCATAACTAGTCATCAGAAGTGTAGTTAAACTGCAACAGATACTTTCATGTAGCTGGTTGTGATGGTTGATGGAGAAACTGTCTCAAGGCCGAAAGAATTCACAGTAACTTAATAAATTACCGCACACACCCAGCATATGTCAATCTGTAGGACACATGTGTGAGTCTATGTAACTCCACCCTTTTAAAACGGTGGGCCTTTTACCTTCTAACCATCAGACTGTGAACAAACAGAAACCTCTAAGTTAAAAACACTCTGGTTAAGCCTTCAATTAACTGATTTTCACTGATTATAAAGGGATATTTCACAATCACTTGAATGTTTATTGTGTTACATTTGATGCTGTATTTTTACCTTTAAATGGAGGGCAATGGAAATACCACCATGGTGGGTGTGTAATTCTGTGAATAGGATTGATCTTTAATTGTATTTATAAGAAGCAAAACGATAATTAAATTGATGGGGTTTGTTAGTGTTATCGGCGCATCAGCAGCTGGAGGAGTATTGAAACGTCTGGTGTTGTGTAGTGCAAAACACAAAATAATGAGGCTGAAGGGACCCAAACAAACACTGTGATGCTGGGTGGACGGGGAGAGAACGACGCAGCCAGCTCTTAAATGCTCTGCGGAGACTGAACAGGTGCGCCCATTAGCGCTAATTAACCCCGCCCACTCTGAAAACTGCACAACAACACAGACGAGACGGAAGGAAATGTGACCAGAGGGCTGCCACATTACATAATTACTGTTATTAACACCATGTTACAACACCTGTAGCCTTGGCCCCTCCCATTTAAAACAAGCCAAAATAAATTCATGCAGGTAAAAAATGGATGGATGCTCCACAGGTTTTTAGTTAACCGTATCTCTGATGCCTTAAACCTCCATTCTTTCTACTGGCCAGCGGGGGGCGACTTCTGGTTGCAAAAATACTTCCATTAGAAGTCTAAGGAAAGACTGCCCTTGACCAACTTGATCTGTGATCTGAGTTACTTTATTTATATTTAGTTATTTGAAGCAGGGCTGCGATACATTTTCCATATATTTATTATCACAGTGGTTCATATAAAAATGACCAGAGTTTCAAATACTGAGGTGTAAGTGCAAGTAATCCCTGTAAGCCCAAAGCTCAGGCTCTAAACACTGATTAAAGAGACAGTGGAGGAACTGAAGGGCTCCAGCTTATTTTACGTGATTACTTTTTCTATCTTTGAATTGTGCAAAGCTGCTCTGTAGGTGTCCAAGAATGCAAATATGGGGGGTGCAAATAGGCACAGTAATTTATCCATTCAGCTATCCATCCACCCATGCATCAAAATGTTGTGGTTGCACAATATGATGTGAAATGCAAAGCTGGAACAGCTATATTTCAGTAGGTGACAACAGTTTGGTTAATGTTTTGATTTTTAGTGCACGGTTTATAACAGTTTTCCATAATAATAAGAAATCGATCCAGAATAAGATACATAGAAAGCATTAGTTGGATCTCAAACAGGTGCTTTATTTTTTGCAGTTTCACAAATTATTCATACAATAATTAGGAAATCTTGAATATAATATCTATCATAGTACTATTATATATTTCTGCTTTACACAGAGGGCTTTTTAAACCACTGAACCCACATAGGAAATAAAAGCTGTCCATACATTACAGCTTCAGTCCAGTCTTACAATGAAAGGTGCAATCGTACAGTCATCTGGTTTCTAGTGTCTCTGTGTGCGAGGTCCACTGCTCTGGATTGCATCCATGATGGACTGGACCATTTCAGATGTGGAGCCCTTACCTCCCAGATCAGCAGTGTGCAGCTGGAACACAAAGGAGATAACATATTTAGAGTAATGTCGAAATACAAAGCAGGACATAACAATAAAAGTTGAATACCACCAACAAATTGCATGTAGCATTGGTCAAATCGTACCTGGGAATCGGTGATTGTAGAGAGGATGGCTTTGCGGATCATGCTGGCGTAGCCGTGGAGCTTAAGGTGATCCAGCAGGAGGCAGGAGGCCAGCAGCATGGCCGTGGGGTTTGCCGTGTTCTTGTTAGCGATGCTCTTCCCAGTATTCCTGGTGCCCTGTACAGAGAAGAGCACATTTAGAAAAGTGATACATCCATTTATACGTCCTTACAAAAATGAGATGTTACATCAGGGGAGGCTTGAGTGAGTGTACACTCATATGTGCGTATAGAGCTTGATTGGAAAAACAACAATTATGGTTTCGTTAAAAATTAAAGTGCTTAGATTACACAATAGGGAAAAATTCAAAAGAGGGAAGTTAACGCTGCACGTTCACATGAAAGAGGTGAAATAGAAAAGAAGGAAAGAACCAGACGACCAGAAGCAGGACTGGGATTCAGCTGCCGAGGGTGAGGTGAGGAGCACTCAGACCACCCAGCCATGGACATGTGTTCATTAGGAGATGATGAACATCATACACACCCACAAAAAAACTTGTCTGAAAACCGGACCAGTTCAGTGATTCCAGTTAGTGGAGGCGAGGCTAGCAGACAAATCACTGACGATACAGGAAGCTTAGCCAGTCAAAGTGGCCACACACACCCAACTCCAACTTCTTCTTTTAGCTGGTGAGTTATAAATATTGATAGAGACCAAAACCTTTGTTGTACGAGGCTGTTAACATGATTATTGATGCTTTAACGGTGGGATTTTAACAGGGCAGTCCACAAAGATGACTCGCTTTTGGAGAGAGCCTCAAGTGGACCCTAGAAAAACTGCAGCTAACCCCAGAGAGAAAAACAAAGAACCCACAAGACATGTAGAGATCTCATTAACCCTGTCTCACCGTCTCAAACACAGCGTAGTTTTCTCCGTAGTTGGCTCCAGGCACCAGGCCGGGTCCACCCACCAGGCCGGCACACACGTTGCTCACAACGTTGCCATAAAGGTTAGGCATGACCATCACATCAAACTGCTGAGGCCTGGA